AGAAAGAAAGAAAGAAAGAAAGAAAGAAAGAAAGAAAGAAAGAAAGAAAGAAAGAAAGAAAGAAAAAGAAAGAGAAAATGAAAAGCAGGTATATTTATATTTGAAGGAAAGGAAAGACTGTGGGTGGATATTTTCTTCCCTAACATGTAAAAGACTGTGGGCTGGGACGGATTGTGTAGAAAAACAGCTGGAAGGAAAAGATTTAGCAGCCTTTTCTCCTAGTCGTGGCCCTCTTAGAACTCTCACCTCTACGCCTGCTTTTCATTAAAAAAGTAAATAAGTCTGGAAGTTTGTTCTATGTCTGATTCTCTATCTAGCCTTATACTTTAAAGAGAGTGATTTTTTTCTCATTACAGATACTGCTTCATACTGAAACTTGGATTTCAGGCTGTATTTCAATCAAACAGCTCCACCGACAACATTCATAACTTATGCATCAATGAAATGGCTGATATAAGCATGCTCCAGCTATTTAAAGCCTTCCTGGAAAGCACAGCCCAGCTTATCCTTCAGATCCACATTGTGATGGCATCTGACTGTTCTCCCTTTTATCAGTGTAAGTCTAATCCATGTTAAAAATGCAAAGCAGCTGACTTGTTTAAAAAACAGCTTTCTGCAATATGGGTAGTCCCCAGTTTAAGAACGAGTTCCGCTCCCAGAGTCTGTCCTTAAGTCGAATTTGTATGAAAGTCGGAACAGTATTATTGTATCGTACTATATAAGTAGTATTGTGTAATGGACTTGAACCATTGTATATTTAACCCGAATCATTGTGTATTTAACTCGAATTTTGCTACAATAGGCTCCGTTCTTAACTATGGGTCATCCAGAAACCGGGCATTCTTAACCCAGGGACTACCTGTATTATATAAGTAGTATTGTGTAATGGACTTGAACCATTGTATATTTAACCCGAATCATTGTGTATTTAACTCGAATTTTGCTACAATAGGCTCCGTTCTTAACTATGGGTCATCCAGAAACCGGGCATTCTTAACCCAGGGACTACCTGTATTACAGTAATGATCAAGATTAAGGTTTGCAAAATGTAATAACATTATCTTTAAAAGTAATAAAATATAATATAAAGCCTTGGTTAATTTTAAAAAATATTTACCTGGGATAAACACTCTTAACATGGTGGATGCCTGGCAATCTTTTCTTTGGAGAAGGAGATTATTGTACTGGGAACTAATTCTTAGTTTCCCTCTGCCTACAGAGGCACCTAACGACTGTTTTTCAATATGAGCTCAGTTTCTTTTGCTTTTGTTTTTACTTTTATATTGGCTATAAACTGCTTTGGGAACACTGTCATCCTGAAAGGTTGCCAATAAATTTTAATAATCATAAATGTCAGTCATCAACTCAAGACAACATGAACTATGGCTGAAAATCTAACCCCTTTGGAAGATCACATTAGTACAGGTTACTTGGTGGAGATAGCAGGCTATCTAGTTAGTTTGTCTTTCTATATTATTCCCTTTTAAAAAAGTATTTAATATAAAAATTTGCAACTTTTTTTGCCTGAATTAACCTTCCCTATTTTTGTTTTCTTTTAAAGATGCTTCCATTGCCTTGTCTTTCGGCAGCATTTCCTGTGCAACAGTGAGCTATCAGATAGTTTTACGAAAATCTCTGCCTGATAAGAATGAATTTAGTGGGATATTTTGCAAACTAATATATCTTTTCTATAAACTGATGACATTAACTTCTTGGATACTTACCATTGTGCTAGTCACAATGCTGAGCATTGCAGGTTCTATTGTTCTGCTTATATTGCTTTGGTTTGGGAATCTAAGCTGGGTGATAAAGCAAAACACTGAATTTTGTAAATTTAAAGCAGCAGAATATGTTTACAGAATGATTGTGGGAATCATTCTCATTTTTACCTTTTTTAATATCAAGGGAGAAAACACAGTAATTGTTCAGTTTGTCTATTATGTTTTTCGAATAATTGTAACTTTAATTATTCTGTGTATGTGTAGGTTCTGGAAATCATTATTTGATGAAAAAATATATTTGTCAACATTGATTAGTGCAGCTGCAATCTCCCTTGTATTAGGTATTTTTTTTCTTATTATATATTATGCTTTTTTTCATCCTAATGTTTATTATACACAAGACGAAGTTGATGGACCAGGACTAGAAAGAAAAGAACCCTGCAGAATTAGTAAATTTCTGATACAATAAAGGATGGCTAGATTTGGTTTGCAAAAATCTGTATGACCGCTAGATGGCAATACATAGTTTTGGAAACTTTTAATTCTTTGCTCCCACTGATTTTTGCAACCTTGATCTGATAACCCTAGCTCTATATACATTCTGAAAGTAGACTGAAATATGTATGTTTTATAACAAAACTTGGAATGGTGCTTAAAAGTCTGATTGCACAGACTTTCAAACCTATTTTGCTCCTTGACTTTCAGATAGGATCAGTGTATTTTTTTATCCATTTATTTTCATCAGATCTTTTCCCGCTCTCTCAGCCCACTCAGCCGACAACCCCTCCTCACAGGCTTGTTGTTGGGAAAATAAAAGAAGGAAGCATTACGCATGCTTCCTTGAGTTGTACAAAATATAAATCTAATAAATAAATATGGGGAGGATGGAACATAGACCGATCAACATTGTCAGTAGTAATTCTTGCCTCTTAATGTGTGGATTGCAAGAATGAGTACTATATTTTTCTTCAACAGTAAAAATAAAGCAAAGTGCTTTGAACAGGGTATATTTCTCTATTGTTCATTACAGCATTTAGTATCAATTACATTTATAACTTCCTCTTCTCAGGCAGCTGTCCTAATTTTATATCTACCACAGTGTCATAAGAGAGAGTGTGACTGGCCCAAAGTCTTGCTATGAACTTCATGAATTTTTATTTAGTTTTATCACTGTTTTTATGGAAACTTTAATGAATCTGATATTTTAAAATGTATTCATGATCTTCGGATTTTATGTTGTTACCTGGGATATATATTGTCAATCTGCATGGGCTGGCTTTACAAAGAGCAAACAGAATGTTAGAAAAATAAAACATTTAAGTAGGAACTTAAATAAAATTCACATTTCTCTTAAACTTGTGTGTCCTACCATCCCATAAATTGTCACAATGGTGCACTAGGTGGATTTCACATGGTTAAATATTGATATTTCACATATATTCCCAAACTACAGTTATATTATCTAGATGTATGAATCATTATTTCTTTACAATAAGAACAAAGCTATTTTTAACGAAGAAATTCAAGTTGATTTTATACTTGTTAAAACTGCAAAACTGAAGTCAAAGTTGCACATACATGGAAAGGGGCAGAGTGTTGACTGCATGTTTGCAAACACCATCAGACAATAGCTACACGATATAAAAACTAGTTCTGGATCTGGATTGCCTCTATTAGGTTAGATAATTAAGCAGATACTAAAACTAATTATTACTATTAAACCTTTGGTTTCTGCATGAATAGGAATTGTATTTAGAGTGTTTTGTGTCAAAATATGATATATCAAATATGATATAGCACATAGTAAAGTTATCTATGGCAGTGTTTCTTAAAGTGTGGTCCTACAACCCCAGGGGGTCCCCCAAGACCCTCTTAGGGGTCCACAAAATCAAAATGATTTGCCAGCCTATGGTGAAAAATACTACAATATTAAAATCCCATCATCGGTCATGACCAGTTGTAGTGGCAGTGTATGCATCAATTTTAATCTTTGATACAGTAAATATCAATCAATATAACCCGTACAAATATTTTTAAAAGTGGGAAAGGGTCCTGAAAGAGAAAAGTTAAAAAAGCACTGATCTATGACATACTCTAGGAACTCGAGCAGAAGATCTACATATTATCAAATGTTACAGCCATAATAGCGTTTCTTTGATTTTGCCTATCATGGGACAAAAAAACACTATACTGTATGATTTAACAAGTTATTGTATATGAACCAAGCCCATTGTTATTTATTTAATAAATTGTTATTCAGTAAAGTGGTCTAGCTTACTGTATGAATCCAGCCAGCAATACATTTTGTGGGAAAAATCTCTCTCTCTCTCTCTCTCTCTCTCCCTCTCTCCCTCTCTCTCTCTCTCCTCCCGCCTCCATCATCTATCCATCCATCCATCATCTATCTCTGCCTGTCTGTCTGTCTGTCTTGTCTATTTAAAATGTCATTGAATCCTTCCCATAATTTCAAAGTATGTCTGTGAAAGATAAAAATGCAAAATGTTATACACTTAATCAAGTTTTAAAATCCACCAATAATCCAAGAAGATGGATTCCCAGTTAAATCCCAACCTTCCTGAATGCTTTTGTGTGCTTTGTAAACAAATGTGATCTACCTTACTAACACTTTAGGCCCCCTCCCAGCAACATTTTTTCCATTGTAATTCAAAAAAAAAAAAAAAAGAAATCAGCAGAGTAGGCTTTTCCCTCTGTTCTCTTTGCCTATTTTATGATTATCACAAAAATGAATTTGGTGAAAGGGACAAGGTTTTCTCTTATGCTCATCAGAATGGAAGATTCCTGAGAATCATTAAAGTACTTGGAAATGCATCTGTGGTTTAGACCATTCAACTCACAAGATATGCTTTCTGTCAGGTCATTTCTTGATTTCACCACTTGAGGGCTCATTTATTAGAGAGAAGAATAGGTAAATACAGCATGGCAGTAAAGTTTACAAGCATTTCTTGCAAATGTTGCCTAGAACAATAAACCTGATTGGCTGTCCTCGTTCGGTGTTTACTGATTCTAGTATTCTAATATTTATTGATCATGTTCAGTTATTATCAGTCTACTTAAACAGTAACATGAACATGCATATCGTTAACTGATGTATTTCAAATACAAGCTGCCCATTGCAAAATTAGAATGGTAAAAGACTTGGGAGATTTCACTCAGCTGCATGAGCACAATCGTGTCCATCTTAAAATTCAGCTGCTAGTCTGCCAGTGGATTGCGCTTGACCTTGTCATTTTAATCTATCTGCAAATTGAAAACAAATGCATTTTCCCCCTGAACTCCAGGATAGCCATGACATCCTGCAACAAGTATTTTAATAAGTTAAATGAAAGATAATAAACTATTTCTTCCTGTTTTGACTACTGTCAGTGCTATAGATGAGGGACAGGATTCCATGGAATTAGTTGAATTACCCTGCTGGGCTCAATTGTGACATCTGGTGGCACTTGTGAGTTTACCCCCTGTGCGACAGAGAGCCTTGATTTATGATGCTGTAATTGGCTTTCCAATAAACATTTGTCAATGTAATGTACCCATTCAAACCAAAGCCTGCTTTATACGATTATATAAAAGAGCACTTAACTTTCAGCGAAGAATTGTCTGCCATCAAAAACACTCTATAAAAGATGGAAATTTATGAAGACTTAAGTATTAAAGAGTGATCACTGGAAGGCTAAAGTTCATTTTGAATCGTTAGGGCGTTGAGTTCTTCTGTGCAGTGGTTACTGATACTATATGTATCTCTCTTCCTTTTTTAAAGTGTTGTACTCTAAATCCTGGGTTTGTTTCTTTTTCTTTTTCCTGGCATGAATGTGGCAATCCATTTTTAACATAAATTACTGACCAAATAATTTATGGGTAATTAAGATCAGATAACAAAGATAGGATAAGAGGAAGAACAAATATGATTCAATGAAAATAGATTTATTTGCATTTGCAACTGGGTTTCATAGACATACATAGCATTACTTGAGTGTGAAGGGTTGTATGATTCAAAACTTACTCCTTGTATGCTACAGATTTTGCACAAGCCTATTGACACTATTGCAGTACTGATAGACCCTGCTTCGGAATGAAGTTCAAGTTAGGCCTAGTCCATGACATGCCCCAAGGCAGTTCTAAGATAATAATTGCCTAGTAATTTGAACATGGAAATGTTTAGAATTGAAAATATTAATATAATATTCACTTCTGGGGAAGAAGTAGCGAACTGAAGATGGCTCCGTAAAAGCGGAACCAACGACTATGGTGGAATGAAGAGCCGGCGAGTAGACCTGCTATTTGTAATTTCTCTCTGGACAAAGGGAGGACTTGAGATCACCCACAAGTGCTCCAGACAGTTGCTTCTTGCTAGAAGACTGCAAGACAGTGGTCTCCAGTGTTCTGGGAGACAAGGGAATAGCCATCTTGCTCAACCCATAGTCAGCACCTTCAGAAGGACACTGGGTTTGCATACTTTCTAATCACTTTTGGAAATTGTTTGTTAACTGCTTTTCAGCTATCAGGAACCTTTGGATCGACAAGGTTTTTTTTTTTTAATAAACAGCAAAAAGTTGATTAGAACTTTGATTTTGGAAAGTTACAGACTAATGGTCCAGATGGATTTGAAATAAGATTATGGAATTAATTATAAGACTCCTTCCCATGGGAAAATGCTTTTGTTTTGAATTCATTTAGAAAAAAAACATGATAGGATTGGACTTTGAAGGTTGGACACTAGAAGGAACTAGAAGGAACTAAAGATTACAATTAAAGGAGAAGAACACTTAAATTTGACTTACTAATACAGAATGAAGCAATGTATTTTAACATTGGAC